CTTTCAGAACTGGACAGTAAAGACACAGTCAGCCTGATGAATCACCCAGCATTTCAGAAATGCTTTGACTTAAGCTAAGTAAAGTCAACTTGAGCAACCTGAGTTAAAACCTGGAGCAGTCCTTATTTTGAAGGGAGCAGCTGGAGCACATCACCTATTAGACATCTGTTACTAGAGTATTTTCAACACCTGCACATCTCTGGTTCTAATATTACAAAAATCCATTTCTCTTTCCATCTGTATCTCTGCTGGATGCTTCAGAAATCCTTCATTCTCTAAGTTATTACTGGAAAGTGCAGCAAGTGCAATATATATGGTATTCACATTGTGAGTTTTTCTATTAGACTATTGTTTCAGATACTGTGCTTTATTAAACACTTTGCCACAAGCTACAGTAGTACAAGACTGCTTTTGTGTGTTAAAGAGAATACATCTCTTATATCCCGTACCTAGATTTTTGAGGAGCTCTGCACCATGGAGCAATGGCAGTTTATAAGAGCTGTCTGCAGGAAGAGGGAAGGCCCATCTTTAACAAGGTTAGATGGAACTACAGCACCTGACGACTGAGCTAATTTGACCTATCGGGAGTTTAATTGCTTCCAGCCACGTTAGAAGTGATTTCACATTAGAAGCTTTTTATTTGATATGCTTCAAGAGAAGCTTTATTTGATATTTCATTAAAAAGGATCATAGTCCAAATCTACACAGGTTTTGACTTTACAGGCTTTGACTGAAGAAATCTTTAAAAAAACAAACACACACACACACACACGCAGGTTTGTCTGTCAGAGAATAGCTATAAAACTAGGATGTTTGTCTGCACTGTATACTCACTTCCACCTGAAATTCTCCCATTCCGAATATATGAGTTCATTCTCACTATATGAACTGAGAAAGGAGTTACAAATGTGGGAAGAATAAAGGCAGAGTGAAAAAGCAAAAAAATTATACAAAAACTCCTGTCATCATTTTATTGAGTAATGATATGTCAATGAGGATTAAAATGTTAAAATTAACTATTTCAGAATCGTAAGAACCTTTTGTTCACAGAGCAGAGAAACTTCATCTTGAATTATCCTGAATGAATCCTTTCAACAGCACTGGAAAAGACACTTTTTAATTCAAGAGCTTAAATTGAATTATGGCAACCTCTAAACCGTGTGACAGAAACCACTTGAATCAAAGGGCATGAGAAATTCGCTGAGGCACAGTACACAATTCTGGTTTTGTATTTGCCCTGCAGATTACAAAATATCAAATACATCTACCTAGAAAACAGCAACAGACACTAGCTATCCACAACAAAATCTAATTTTTTGGTCTATATAGTAGTATGTTGCCAGAATAAATAAAAGAACTTTTGATTAAAGTTCAATGAAAGCCAGGTAATTGAGCTGATCCTGGAGCGCACCCAGAGCCGTGCCTCCTGCTCCAACAGCTGCTGCAGCAGCATCCCACCAGCATGCTCCTGGGGTACTTGGGCAGCAGGTCAGTCTCAGCACAGCACAGCACCTGCCTCAACCTAGGCCAGGTGGGGGAGCAAGCACAGGTGGCCAGGCCCTTAATAGGGAGCAGGAACCTAATGAGTGGGTGTGCCCATGGCCCACTGGGGGGTCTGGCAGCCATAAAGAGCAGCTTTCAGCCAGGGCAGAGTTTGGATGATGGTGCTGGTTTGGGGAAAAAGAACTGCCTAATGCAGGCTTGTGGTTTTGTTATTGCTGGGGTTTTTTTTGTTTGTTTTGTGTTTTTGTTAATGGGCCTGGAGGAGCCCAAGAAACCACAGGGGTAATGAGATGTGGAGAGCAAAGATCTCATTTACCTGAGCTGGCATAGGGGCTAGGCTGGTGTGGCCCAGTATGCTCTTGGGAGGCCTTGGCCAGGTAGATGCTCACTCTGCTTTTTGGGCTACCTTTGAAGACAGGCTTTGTGGCTGTGTTGCCTTTCTCAGTCATGCAGCAGGTGAGGACCAGAGGCCTGGTGCAGCCAGGATGCCAAGGGACTGCGCCTGGCTGGTGAGGTAGGGCCTGTTGCAGGCAGCCTTTCTTGTAATTAACATTAGTGGCAAAATCCTTCCTGGAGAAACTGTCTTGCATTGGATGGAGGGGCTCAAATGTCTCTGCTGGGTGATCCTGGTGGTCTTGCAGCAAATGCTCTGCAGCAAGTGCCTGTGCTGCAGGGTTTACAGCAAGGGCAAATGCCCATTGCGGTAGCAATGACCATCCTGTAAGGGGTAGATACAAATCCCAATTAAAAATACTGAAAATAGATGCTAAGGCAGTAATTTTTTTAAAGAAAAACAGCTTGATTTTTCTTTGCTCTGTATGTTCCCTATTTGTGGCTAGTTTGTGTGCTACAGCAAGTTGTCAAATTAACAAAGTAAGATTGCCTCTGTAGGATCAGAGCTAGGGACAGACCTAAACCAAGATGCCAGACCTGAACTCCCGCAGGCCCTAGGGCAATACAAATCCCTGCCTGGCTATGAGTTTTTATTTCTAGTTCTAGGAAATTAAGATGGTAGAAATATAGAAAGCATGTTGCTAAAAGCTTTCTCTCTCTCTGAGAGAGCAAAAACTATACAGATGAGCTGATAAACAGGAAAAAGCTGAATACTTTGAGGAAAATTCCAGGCTGCTTAACAAGAAGTTGCTAATGCATTAATTACAGGGCAAAGAGGGGATGGAATCAGGTAGGCTCAATTTACGGACTTAAACTGAGGTCTTTCTCAGAACAGTGAAGGCTTATCGGTGTGCTTTTATTACTTTTAATGAAAAGCTTGGGTTGACTATATCAATTAGCTCAAATAGATTTCAGAAACCTTACTAATAGTAAATAGATCTCATAAGCAACACTGAACCAACTCTTGGGTTAAGTAAGAAGATTGAGTAGTGGTGAGTTGACAGAACACTGGAGAGCCTGGGAACCTGCAGAAAATAGCAATTTGACTTTCAAAACACCTGCTTGGATCAAATGATATCTAGGCTGAATAAGACGGGTTTGTTCTGTTGAACTTTCTCCACTGCTCGCTAAAAGACAGCTTTCCTACTAAGTTGTATTAAAAGTCTATTTTCTAGCATTACTAACCTAGGGCAAAATCTGTTGGCATTACATTCTTTAATCTATGCACTTCAGCAGCACAACTGTTTTCAATTGATTTGAGCAATTTTTCAGTTAGTTTCCTATTCTTGAACTTGAAAAAGCAATGCATTGGTGATATGAGCTCAGGTTTTAAGAGTAAAATATTAATTTCAGAGGATCTTTCAAAAAAGTGATTAAAATATAAAAGATTATGTGGTTCCTTCAGCTGCTCGTAAATGTAGAAGTGATGCACAGGTCTCGTGCAATGTCTTTGACAAGATCTTTTCTTCCACTGTGGAAGTCTTTCAATGGTGATTTGTACTTCTTGGAGGCTGTATGACTGTGCTTAACCTTTTGAATAAGCAAATGCACACACTTACCAGGGTTCAGCTGACATGTGATCACTTGAGTATGTATTTGAGCCACAGTCTGAACTGTCACGGTATTGAAGGACTCTTGACCATATAGTGAATCAAAACTTGATTCCAGTAATAGATACAGTTCCTTACTCTTCAAATTGTCTTCTAAAGGGTTCAAATAGTTTTTTCTTCTTGGGTTTGTTTGTCAATGCCCTCCCCATCCCAATCTCTATCCCTGTACATTTGGACTCATTAAACAAGGGTGGTATTTTGTCTTTAACTCTTTTGACTTTTCCTTGTTTATATACATATCTATGCCTGTTAGCGCTAGGGGAAAACATGGCATTCAACAGTTCTTATTAGTTATAGGCTAGGGAATACTACTTAAGGTACTAAATGCCAATGCTTCTCAGTCTCATAGCTAAATTGGACAGGCAAATTTGGAAAGGCAAACAAAGGCCCAAGGATCCCATACCCTGTTTGCTAAACTAGAGTTATCCATGGCTGCTTTCAGACAAGGTTAAAAATAAGAGAAGGGTGAGGTCAGAAAAAGTGTGTGTGGCCAACAACCACTTCCTCAGTGGTGCTTCGTGGGGCAGAATTACCTCGTGATTGTTTCATATGTCTGTGTTCTTCATATGTCTATGAGCTTTGCTAAACTTAGTGGGAATGTAAGGAACTTCTCCTTTATGAGAACTATTTAATTTCTGTCTGGCCTATAAAGATTTTTAACTCTCTAAGGGTTAAAAACAACAATGACAACTAGCTATGTCTCATGGGGAGGAAAAAAAGGCCTTTCCTTGAAGGATATGTATTTAAAATAGAAACAGCTAACATAAAGTAGCTCCAGCCTCCTCATTTTTTCCACCCTTCCAGGGGAGGGGAAGCAGGCAAAGGGCAGAAATGTCCTTAAATAGAGGAATGAGAGTCTTGCATACTGTAAAGGCTGTTCTTTGCCCTGAAATTAGTACCTAATATAGCTGATGTAATTAGGCAAATCGTTCTTCATGAAAACCAGACTGGAAAGAAGCTACTTTTATAATGAAGAGACGTTTATTGTTGGTATTTTTGTATTTATTAACTTAAAATCACACAAAGTATAACCGCACACAAGAACATACACCTGATATTGCAATGTCACTATCCCACAAATAAAAATATCTCTTGCTGTAACTCTTAGCAAAAATCCAGTATGCAAACAGTTCGTTTGACCATAAAGGCTTTAACTAATCAAAACAAGTCAAATTCCTCTTTCTAGGAATATATACATGTTCTTATAGTCACACAGAGTTCAGAGGTGAGTTCTGCAGCCCTGAAGTAGACAGAACTTCCATAGCAAACTTGCCTGTGTCTGGAGAGTAAGTACATTTCTGTTATTTTTATAGTTTGTCATTGACAAGCAAACTTACGTAATATTTTTAAATACTTAAAACAAATTTCACACTTTAACAAGTATTTACAAAACGTTAACTAAAAGATCAACATCCTGCATAAAGGTGACCTCAAGGATATATTGTTGCTACCATGCTACAATTTGCACAGAAGGGATATAAAGGCCATTGCTAGTTTTGGAAGGCTTAAACCCTTTGTTGATATAGCATAAGAACATTAACCTGTGGAAGGCAGAAGAGGTCATAATTTCAGTGCAATTACACAGTCAGTGAAATTACCCATTCATGACTTGTTTAAAGTACATCATGATGATGAGTCCAAAGACTTTTTTTGAATTATTGACCATTTAGTTCTTTAAGAACTGATTTCATTGAAAGTTTTCAGGCTGTCATATCTGTCTTCTACTGGTGATAAGAAGAAGTTGCATAGGGACCTTCAGTCTCCTCCTCTCTAGAAAGAAAATCATAATCAGATCAGGAAAACACATATCGCACCTTAAGACCAAAACTGCCACAAAAATGCAGATAACTACTTTTTGTAATGAATCAAAATAGGCTAGACTGGATTTTATAACAGAAGTATTACTTGGAGTATAATTGGAGCATACTACTTGTTGTATGCATGCCAGGAATTCTCACTAGTTGTTGCGTGAATGAAAGCTGAAAACAAAGCTGTAGTAGCTCAGTAGTATATCAGAACGTGCTTAATCATTCTTAACACTACAATCCCAACTCTAAGAAATACTGTAAATGATAAGCAAGTGGAGGGCATGCCGAAGTTCTGGTATTGTTGCTCTCCCCATATCTCTCCTTTCAAGGTAAAGTCTTAGTTGTAGGTTTGCTTAGGGCCTTTTGAGTAGGGCAGAGGATGCAAATGGGGCCAACTGAGGCAATAACGGGAGCAGTCCATCTTAGTTATGTAGATGGACTTGTCTTAATGATGTGAGGATATTCCTTCTGTCCTTCAGTGGACTCCTTGATATATATTCCTTGTACATAAACCAGTACTGAGACCAATCACTTGTATGGCTCTTCACAGAAAATCATTGCCTGCAAACATATCATTAATGCAATGACTTGATAAAGAATACTAGTGTATCTATTAAATCTTCAGGAAAATCAGTCTGCCTACTGTTTGCTTGATAATACTGCTTTAGAAAAGAGTTATGTGAATCTACTGCAATGCAGCAACCAGTATCAAGCATGCTAGAGACTCCAAAGATTACTAATTTCTACCAGCACATCTTCCAAATTACATGTTACTGGGAGCATGCTCTTAAAGATAACAAAGCAGCAGCTGCTGCCAATGTTAGCATTTTGATGAGAACTGGAAGACTTAACAGATGTTTCAGGATGAGCTTCAAAGGATTTGCAGTTACTTTTAATGCTGTATGTGCCTGCATACGAAGATAGTTATTCACATAGCCTAATAACGGTATAGGTGACAAGCACTTCACACAGCTGTGTATACTTCAGTACTGTTCCAATTCACAAAGTCACGTTGACTTTTTCCTACTAACTTCCTAGCAAGGTTTTCTGCGTTTAAATCTTGTGCAAAGACCCCTAGGAACAGAATAAAAATAGGAAAAACCAACAAAATAACCAAGCAACTGAGTAACTTGCACATGTTTTTTCCAACTCTTCCCTGTTTGAGGGTAGTCTAGCAAGAATGTATGTTCTTAAGCCAAAAAGATATGAGATTTTTTTGCCTTGAGACAAACTTGTCAAAAAAATTAAACCACCCAGAAAATATGGCTGTGAATTAAACTAGCAGTTATTTAATTGCAGGCGTGTGTAGTTACACTGGTACTGAAAATTTTTAAGTCTGTCTTGCCAAACACTACGTGTATTCACATTAGTGACACTACAGACCCAGCACCAAGCACGATTCTTCAGAAAAGGTAATACTTCAAAATGTACAGATTGGCTCATCTTAAATCCCATCAATTCTGTATTGCAAAACTGCCAAGGAACACTAATCCACAGGCACATTTCATAATAGCTGGCATGAGGGTAAAGTAACAATTTTTGAGGGAAACTTTTTGAGGGAAGGCAACAATTAACTTTTAAATAAGCACAAAGCCCTGTTAATCTATAAATTGTCTCAAGACAGTATTTTGAAACTTGTTCAAAAGTGAAACCCATCAACATACTAAGCTTGCAAGACTGAAAATGGAAGGGCTGGAAAATGTCACCATAACCATACTTAGCTAAGGCTGACTATTTTTAAAACTATGTTCTGAAGCCTAGATAAACGCCCTCCTGAGGTAACCTGCTTTAGCCACATATGCCCAGAACACAGCTGCAAATAGCAATTTTTTGCTTGTTTGAGGATGAAGGCCAACCTCTAGAACTACAGAGCTTAGAATGAGGGATTCAGTAGGTAAAATAGGAGAGGAGCTATAATCTCCATAACTATGTGATTAGGGTCCCTCTTATCTAATTCTTTTGGCTATATTAAATCCCATAAATTACATACTGAAGAATTGCTGCTCTTTTTAAATTTAATTCTAGAGAATTAAAAGCAAGTAACTCATATCATCTGATCTTCTCATATCATATTCACAAGTTCAAATGCATCAATATGGTCAGAATGGGGGTGGGGAGAAACAATCTATTTTCTCTGCTTATAAAAAGCATATTTAATTACATAGCTATATAGAAAATATTAGTTTTAAGAGAATTTAGTCCTCCTGCAGCCAAAGCTGTTACTGCAACTTACATAATCATTTTCTTTAGTAAAGAGGGAATTTGTTAATTATTCAGTACAAAGACTTCATGTTTAAACACTTTAACTTTTAAATACTTCAAGATAAATCAAACAGTCCAAAAGTGAGCTTTTATATCTTGATTAAAATATAAATTTAATCAAGCAGTGACAGTCCAGCAGGGGAGGAAACTCATTTTTTTGTTGTACACGGAAAAGTACATTTGTTCTTTTTAGTTTCACTATCTTTCTTTTCAGGAGAATGTTGTCATTGCTCAACTGTAAAAGCTGAGAACACAAGTGCAGGCAGCTAAAATGTGACAGAGCAAAAAGATCCTCCTTCTAATCAGACTGCCAAAATTGGCTTCCTTTCTACCTTTCTTCTTGGAAAAATGTTTCTCACATCCATTAGGACATGACAGCTACCAAATCTTGGACAACTAGCTGCGTTTTTTATGGTGGATAGCAAGTATAAATGTGGAGAACTGAAGAGGAGAAATGCTGATGTCATATTATTAGGTATTTGCAGACTTCAAAGATTCCAGATTGCAAAATGAAGACAGCCTAAGTTGTTCATCTCCACCTTTAAAATATGTATTTGGACTAGAGGTTCCTATGTGGTAATTGGAAGAATCGGGCAGAGGACTGGCATTTGGGTCACAGACAACTCTGAGGGGTTTATGTATGTGGCAAGGATATAAGAACTATGTAGTAGTCAATTATGCTTGAACCTAAGTAAAGCAGTGACTTTTAATACTGAGAAGAAAAATATTTCTGCCACAGGTCTGGGCATGCTATAGGAAGGCAGTAAGGGGTCTAAGCAAGAATGGTTTCTAGCCTTCTGTCCCAGAGAGCAGTACTAGGCCGTGTAGAGAAGTCTACTAGATTTTGCTCCAAACCCAGGTAATGATCAAGAATTCTTAATAACATAGATCTTCGGAACTGTATGCACCAAGTCTTAAAGTCTGTTCAGACTTTTTTTTTAAAAAAAAAAAGGCTGCTTATCTTAAAAATAAGCCAAGCTTTATAACAGGTAAGACTATATACTAGTAGCTCTGATTAGTGGCGCACACAACAGCATGGCAGTATGTGTATGCTTAATTGCCAGACACAATTTTTTCCCTCCATTTTTGAGATGCTTAAAATAGCCAAGTGGCAAGTCACACCACAACGTTCTCCTTCAGGCAAAGGGGAAGGAACAGCAAAACATTCCAGTGTTTCATACTGCTGTCCTTTCCTGTTTGCAGCTTCCACTTGGCCCAGCAATTTGCAGGTGCAGAAAAGCATCTACTGTAAGCTTTTATATGCATCAGGTCACAATAACAAAGGCTAACAGCCACTTTCATAACACTGAGAACACACCTGTGACTGAAAACAAATTTCAATCCAAAGTTTGGATGCTTCTAGCACCCACACTTAGAGGCCAATGATCTGAGTTCATGAGCTAATAGCTTTAGGAATCCTGAAAACAGCACTCTTCTCCCAGGTGGCTTCATTCATTGAGGTATCCGTATTCTTTTAGTGAGGCTGGTGAACAATTATTGGACAATTTACTTAAATATACTATCAATTTCAAAGGTTTCAACATCCTATTTTTTCCTAGGTTCAGTTCCAGGCAACTGAGCAGACTACAATATATGGTTCTGTTCCAATGCTGCAATTATACTGGCTCATATAAGCAATAATTAGTGTAGCTCTTGTTCAATTAACAAGGCATTCAAAATCAGGCATTGCAAAAGGCAATTATGGAAAAATATGACCTGGCTCAGAAGCATGCTCTATGTCCTCAGTGTTCTAGCCTACCACAGTATTACCCTAAAATCATAAGGACTCTGTAAAGAGCTTGCTGTACAGTTCTAGTAATCTATTGTCTGATACAAGAAGCATTGCCAAACTTTAAATTTCAGATTCAGCATACTGAACGTGTATAACAGCATCTAGGGCAAGATGAAACACTAGTGTATTTTCTGCAGAGAATAAATAGGCCAAACAACCAGCCAGGAAACTGCTCATAAGAAAGCTTCTGAGGGATGGTGAAAGAACTGGGGAGGTTCATCCCCAAGGACAGGGGAAAACAAACACCACTGAAGTCCATTCTTGCTCTTAAGTCCTCTTCTTACACTCAACAGTATGTCTACTCTGCATGTGCTACATGTGTCAGAGGAGGGGATAATGATTACTGCAGAGGCACTGCTTTTACTAGGAATTAAAAGGTGTGCGAGGTCTTTGTTGTAGAGGAGCTATTAAAGACAAGGATGAAATCTACATAAGTGGATCCACAAAGGGAGGGACCACTTAGAGAAAGAAGGTAGGACAGTTTAACTGAAAAAAAAACAAACTGTCAGATGGAGTATATTTGTACTATTACAAGGCAACTTAGGACAGGGGAGAAAAATCCAGTCAGGCCTTGTTGTACACCATCAGCCTCCAGTCTCTGGTTTAGTATTCTATGGAAAAATCTGAGCTTGCTTAAATAGTTGTCTGCTTAAATAGCAAGACATCTTGGAGAACACCGTCCTTTCAGCTTTCATAGCTGTTATTGCTGTTCTGTGAGCTACATAAATTGTGAGGTAGCCTTTATAACTGCCATATCAAGGCATCTGCTAATGGTGTACTGTACATGTCTGGTACGTGATAATAGCATAGATTTCCTGTTGACAAATTAAATAGCTACAGCTACTGTACTCCACAAAGGCAGTTCAACTTGGACTTAGAGAAGCCTTTAGGATGAAGTTAAGATGCTTAATATTAAAACTGACATTTACCTGACAGTGTCATCTTTTAGTTTTCTGGCTGCTTGCTTGGATAACTTAATCTGCAAGTCCAGTCTCTGTAGAAAATCTTTGGCAGATAGTTCTTCTGGTGCAGTGGGCTGATTGTCAGGCTCTTGAGGACTGGGAGAAGAACTACTGTCTTCCTGAACTGTGGCTAGTCCTTCATCACAAGAAGGGGAGCTGTCAACAGTTTCATTTTCAGGAGACTCCAATGAATTAAGTCCATTGAACAGTAATGGTTTTTCTGATATAACAGGAATATTCAGGGTTTTCCTCAGAAATATACAGTCATTAGTGAATAATTTATTTGCCCGCTTTATTTGTTCCATCTGAAAAAGATAGGAAAATATAACTTATTAGGTTTTGGCACAGTATAAAATGCCACCTTTCTGAACCACCACAGTAATCTCCAGTTACTATAAAACCATATTTCGTTTGCAGCTGCAGTGACTCTTGTTGTCTTAAAGGACTTTTTGCATTCAAAACTACTTCAGAGTGGATGCTTTGTCTTGGCCTTGTTAACACAGTAGCTTCTCCCTTGTATGCAGACTTGACTCCACCATATTGGGGTCTTCCTAGAGGTCTTGCAGCAAATAAAGATGCTTTTCTTAAACAGTCTTCTAATCTCTACATTGGAAAGTTGTTTGCATGAGCCAAAGGAAAAAAAATGCTATTGCAAAAACAGTGCTGTTTTGGAATTATAGTGCAATGAGGATGGACTGTTGGCAGCTGCCCTAGCTAAACTAGCATGCGTAATCTAAACAAGGGGTGATGGAGTTGCATTGAGCCTTCTAGGACATGCTAGTTATGAACAGCAAGTTCCACAAATTTTGGAAGAGCAGTACAGGCCTCACATATAGTATTTTTTTTTTCCTTGCTGATTTATCAAATTCAGACTTGCAGCTGAAGTCCTTACTTGTCACTGAAAGCCAGCCAGTAAAAAACGGGAGACTCTAAATGTTTTGTGATATGGGGTTGCATAAGCTAGTGGCTGCATTGTCCAGTGACCTGAACCCACAGCATGATCAACAGCAACACCTTGTATGTAATCGTGCATGTAAATGGCCATCACATAACTGTTAAATACCTCTTTTGCAATTTTTACTTGAAGTACTCCATAGGATCTACTCCTCAGCACAGAATACCTCATGACAGATTACAGCTAAACAGGCCTGATCTTTCTGAACACTAAAACATGATGCCCTGCTTCTGTAGTTATGGAATTTATAATGGCTTCTCAGCTATACTGCTTTACAGAGTAAGAAAAGCTCACAGTAAATCTTTATACTACCTCCCTACTAATAAGCATGTTCTTAAGTACTTATTCATGACAATTTCCCCTCCAAGTCAGTAACAGTTGAAAACTAGTTTCCTATTTCTCAATTACAAGCTATAAAGCCAGTGCTGAAATCGGTATCTATGATTATAAAACTTTTATAAGGTATTGTTAATAACCTGAACTCATGATATTGCTAGGAAAAGTCCTAATTAAGCAAAAAGAAAAATGACCATTCTAATCCTCTGGTGACTTCAATAAGCATCGACCCCTAATCACTACAGTGTTGTAATGATAAATGTACTCTAAATATGTACTGTAAATAAACTGCTTGAAAAAAGTATGAGAAGAATTGAAAATCTCTTGCCTGCATTAGGGGGAAGTATTAGTCATTTTTATTAAACTAAATGGAGCTGCACTGGATAAAAATAATACTCTGAAGTCTTGTGATAATAGTAGTCTTACTGTTAGTATAATTGTCCAGCATAATCAGAGGACTCTAAGCACTAGCTGGTTGCTATTTCAAACTTCAAAATGTCTTGAGTTTAGTTCTTGGATCATGAACATTTTTCTAAGACTGATAAGCATAAGGTGACAGAGTGCTCCTTTAAACTGTTCTGCTACTGCTTGGAATCCTTCCCAGCTGCAAAAGAGAAAACTGTTAGCAGGCAAGAACAGGGTTAATATGTTTGCAGCTCTCTTGCACTGAAGCTACTAGTGGAGGAAGCTAATCAAAACTAAGGGAAAGCAATGAAAATGTTAGTCTTCCTTCTCCAGCCCTACCCCTACAGCACACTTGAGAAAATGCAAAAGGAGAAAGGTGCCCTTGAAGGAACGTAAACGTGGCCCACTCTGGCCAGAGACTGCCCTTGTTTACACAAGGGAACTAGTGAAGGGTAGGATGTGGATTACCAGCATGCCAGTCTGGCCCAGGCTGTGTGGCCACTTCCAGAGTTAGAAAGTATCGCTTGCAGTGTAGGTGTACCCTGTGCAGTAAGAGTATTTATCTGCTGTAGCGCTGTTAAGAGATCTGTGGACTAGCCACAACTGTGGTGGGATGTATTTGTTTGGGTCCTTGTAGTCCGATGAAAACTTTCTCCTTAAATTGAAGATTCTCTCCAGAAAGGCTAGATGCCTGGAAAAGTGATAGTAGTTGAAATGGTGCAATCAGGCTCAAGTACTGAGTTGTTTCTATCCAATAAATACATGAAAATGGTATTGTCTCTGGAGAGACAACCCCAACCTGTTACTGCAGATAGCCCAGCTGATGGCATGTTTGGATTTAATAATCCCTTTCAAATGGAGAATAATTAAGACCCAGTGTCAGACCATAAGTCACCTCTTCAAACAAAAGGGAATCTCGCTACTCTTCCAGTTCCAGAAGCCTGGAAACTAACTATTTTTAGTTAACCTTACATAGTACAAGGCATATCTTTAAGTCCTTACCCAGAGTACTGCCTGAAGGCCACAAAAGAAGCTTTGCCTGACTTACTAGTGAGACCTATAATGGGCATTAAACAGAAGTTTAAATGCCAATTGTCATAATTTCTAAAAGTGAACGTCTCATTTCCTTGAGTATCAAAAATGTATCGTTCAAAATGCTAGGTGGAACTTTTCTCTATAAAATACAGTACCAAAACTGAAACTTTATCTCTACTGCAGGCTCTCTTGTCCAGGGGACTAGGAAGGTAATGCTTCAGGAGCTGATTAATAATGCACTCTATTGCTATTCTCTGTCCTACTTCACTGTAACTCTAACTCTGGTTATTTCTTCCTGGAATAGCTTTTTAAAATATTATCTTGTGCCATTTAGAGAAGACTGTGCACTTCTGTGCACTGAGTAAAGATGAAGTAGGAAATAATTTGTCTCTAAAAAGAACATCCTTTACAGCCTTTAGCAAGTTACTTGACTAATGTGCACTACATTCTGCATTCTCTGCAACTCTATATGACTACATTCCGAGATGTATGGAGAGCAGAACCTGACACTAATTTTCTCAGTGCTGGGGAAACTTGATTGCTATTAGCTACAGACCTACAACAGTGAAAACTGCAGCATGGCCATCTCTTTACTATTATGTGCTAAGCCTTTGATTTTAATACTGTGGGTGAAGTTGCACTCATGCATAAACTGCTGCTGAACTAGTCTATCAAAACAGCTTTCACTAGCAATGAAACAAACAGTGCTCATCCCTCTTTCCCCCAAAAGGGAAGCCTGTGTATGATGGGAAACAATACTCCAACTGAACCATAAACATCATACTAAACATGTGAGCTATTAATTCCCCAATGTTAATTTACCCAACAGTCTTCAAAGGAAAAGCTAATGAGCATCAGCCATACAAGATTAATAAACAATATCCGAGGGAGAGGGGTGAAGGGCAGGGGAAGAGGAGAAAGCCCTCTGATCTTTCTCCCCGACATGTTTTCATCCATCCTAAATTGCTGATGTCATGCCAACTCAGGCATTGGACAGGATGTCTCTTGCTGTACAATTGCTACCAGTGACAGAAACCACATGGGGAACTTCTAAAAACAGTAATACTGGAGGCAAGTGGCAGCCTAAGATAATTCTGATGTTCCACATTACAGCAACCCTCTCTTCTAGCCAAGTATAAGGGATGTAGGAAGTAAATGAAATGACCCTTTTAGAGTGAATCTGTCCATGCTAGTGTGTGAAGGTGTAAGGGTCTTCATTTTGTGTTACAACAAACATGTTTGCATATTTTCCTACCCTGCTGTGAAACCCATCAGAGCAAAACCACAATGACAGATTGCAGCTAACTTGGTATTACCTTTGGGTTAAGCTGACATGGAATTTCCCTTTCTCAGTTTAGGTCTACAATGCTGTAGTTCAGGTTTCCTAAGCAGAATGCTAGCAACGTAAAATCAAGTAACAAATGACATGGAAAAACCAGCATCTATACCTTAAATGCATCATTAACACAGCAAAAGCTTATTTAAACCATAATATGAACAAAAAATTTACTATTTTTAAGTTAAATCTGGTTTTAATACTGAACAGGTCTGATCCACAAGTTCACTTTAGCTGAAAGGGAATTCTAAAGTGTTTAGAAATGCCCTTCTAGAAAACTACTTTTTCAGTGATCTGTGTATACAAATTTTTCATTCACATTAATGCAGTGAGCAAATGCATTTCTGAATGAAGATTAAAACAGAGCTAAATCAGGCCACAGACTTTATCTGTTATGGAAGGTGCTGCCAAAAAATCAAAAGCAAACAAATCCAAAAAGCAGCTCAGTTTACCTTGCTCGTTTAAAGTGCTACTGAGCAAAACTTTGTTTTGATGCAGATCCATGTAAATGCAAAATATCATTAATCTTCATGTCAACAACATTTGGTCAAAAGTGATTTGACCAAGATGTGATCAAAATTTTTCTCAGGGGAAGGGAAGTAGACTTTAACCCTTTTCACAGCAAAAGCTGGATAAGTTGCTGAAAGGCTTCAGTAGATCTTCCAGAGCCAGAGTAGGAAAGGAAACCCATTCCAGCCGGAACCTACTAATTCAGGAGTGTATTGTTGCTCTTCTGGAGGGAGCCCAGCTGAAGGGTGCTCTTGGAGCTGATGTGAAAGTGACAGTCACTGTGTGCCAGCTCCATGCTGTTGGCCCTGTTCATCAACTGTGTGGCCCCCAAGCGATTTTGCATGTTGGAAAACTGAAGTTGTGTACAGACTGGTGAGTTTGCAGCTTACTGAGCCCCCAAAGAAACTGAAATGATGCTAGGATACGTGAGCTCTTTCCTGTGGGGGAGGACAGTGCATTAGGCCCTGCTGGTAGACCCCAGTGTGCTCAATGTCTTAGGCCGCCATGAACCTTTCAATGTTTTCCACAGAAGGAAGTAACTTCTCTCCGGGAAGGGCAAAAACCAGCAACTTTTGCACTGGTTCTAAATCACCTGTAGGCTGGTAGCTGGAGGACTAATGGGAGAATTTTAGCCCTTAAGCTACTGGAAGACTGACTTTCTTGTGGTCACAGCCTATGTGTCAACCTGAAAATAAAGATCGTTCCAGGTGAGCTTAATTCCCTTCGTTTTCTTGTTACAATCGGTAGCCAGTGCAGCGGCAGATTTCTTGGCATGCGAGCACGAGTTGACTTGGTGGCGTAAGCGCACCTCGCCTCCGCGGTCACCAGCCAGGCACGCAGCGCTAAAGCCTGGGTGCTGCGAGCCGGTTCAGGGAGAAGCCCCGCGCCCAAGCTCGCAGGGCGAGCACTCGGCCTGCGCCGCCCGCCCGGGCCGGGCG